AGAGGCAGTACTTGGTGGGTACACCGGTTATCACTTGTGGTGTGGTGGGTGTAGACGCAGGGGGGGGGAAGAGGGGTATGCCTGGGCGGTGGGCCGTGGGAAGATCCTCAGGACCTCTGGCACAGGTGTCCTCTGATGGCAGGTGCTGTGAAGAGGTGGAGCGACGTGTTGTCCTGGATGGGGGGATTGGCGAGTGATGGAGGCATATCCGTGCCTCCATCCCAGGCATATCCGTGGCCGCCCAGGCATATCCGTGGCCGCACCGTCATCGCTGAGAGTCGCCCTTCAATATCCTCACGGTGAGTTACAGAAGCCCACCTCTTCTTCACCCACCACTGCATACCTCACCCCCTCGCTTTCTTGTGTCTCCATCTGCCTGATTGGGTCCAATCGCTACGCCACCCTGGAGAAGAGGGATCACCCCCACCACCACTCCATCCACGTCACCGCAATCTGATGGGTACAAGCGAATGCTCACCCAGCCTCAGGTGAGTAAATCACCAACGCTTACACCCTGCTCTACCACATTTATTGCGCCAGGTAGTGGCGCTTCCGTCTCCAATTTTTTGTTTCCTTATAGGGGTACTCCTACCCATTCACTAAAAGGTTAAAAAAAATTATAAAAAGTTCAGACTTTTAGAAAAAAATCCTTTATTTGAAATAAAAACACAACAAAGGCTTTTGACAAGTCCTTATTGTTAAAAAAAAAAGGACTCATCAACATCCAGCATTGTCCACGATGATGACAACTTGACAAAATAAAAATAAATTAATAAATAGAAATATTTTTCTTAACAAAACAGATGCCAGCCGACCCGTCCGCTCGAGGCGAAATCCTGCCACAGAATGGCCTTCTGACAGATGGCAGCAAAATATAAACAATTGGGCAGAGCTAGCGGTGACAGCTATCTAGCTCTGCCCAACTATTTAAATTTGTCTGGCACCTGACAGGTCATCATTACTTTGCCCAATCATGGCTCTCACAGTGCATTGTGCTGTGATTTGGTATAGTCTTGCACCAGAGCATCACAAGGCACCTTGTGAGGTGCTCGGCAGGTGAATAGCCCGCCGGACACACCCTAATAGTTTGTGTGTTCGCCGGGCACACAAACTGCCGATTGTTCGAGTCAAACTGTTCTTTGACTCGAACATCGAGACCATCCCTAATGTCCAATACAAGATCGCAAAGAACATAGCAGTCTCCAGCAACTGTTTATCTACTAGCTTGGAGAAGGGAAGGGGACCAGGGGTGAGGGAATTAGCTTGATTTGCTGTGTATCTGTGTTTGTGGAGACACACCAGTTTACTAGCATACACATCACTAGTGACTGCATAGGACTCTTCTTGGGAAAGTAGTCACTCTAAAACAGGAAGTCAGGACCAGTGCTCAGGGGACCAGCTGATTCTGCAGGAAACTAACACTTTTAAACATCAAGGAGCAGCATCCATTGTAAGTGATTTCATCATCATTTGAAATAACTTAAAAACCTTTTAAATTTTATATAATTGTAATCTCCCTGTAAAGTGGTGTTTTGCGTATGATATTGAACATGGCTGATATTATGGATGTGACATCAGCAGCCCCAGGCAGACTCTATTCACATAATGCTCTGTAGTATCCTTCTGCTATCATTTATCTATGTTTGCGGCTCACTGAACAGCCATTTATCTGATGACAGGACAGAGAGGCTGATAGTAGGAGCTTACACACAGCAGAGCAATGAATAATGCCAACAGTGACACCTCCTCTACTCTGCACATAACATCCATATCAGGCCTTATTTACATTTTTGTAACTTCTGTTTAATTACTTATTGGGTGAACAAATTTCTGATCTTGCCTGATGGCCCTGTCACACCATCAGTTGGTGCAATCGCCGGCACCCGAGCGTGTGGCACATTAGTGCCTGCGTTCCGTTCCAGTGCGATCTGCAAAAACTGCTGCACACTATTTTTTGCAGATCCCACTGGACCAGAATGCAGGCACTAATGTGCCACACGTTCGGGTGCCAGCGATCACACCTCAGGCGGGGGGCGTGGCTGCGGTGCCATTGAGTTCAATGCAACGCCACGCACCCTCCCACCCCAAAAAAAAGGGAGCCGGCAGCCTTCCAGAGGCTAAACGCATTGGAACACACTCTTGATGGTGTGACCGGGCCCTGAAATCCTAACATTTGCTAACAAAGCTGTGCAGCTTCCTGCTGTCTGGTGCCAAAAAGAGAGGAGTTGACACTTCCAGGAAATGGTCAGATTTAAACTTATATTACGCAAGTCACAGCATGGAGAAAAACATGCAAGTGCTTATTATCCTATCCTCATTATCCTTTCATTTAGAAAGTGAGGTCTAGTGACAGGGTCTCTTTCAAGAAAGCCTGCAGTAGGAGAATGGGTAGGCTGAAATTGCTGAGCAATTACTTGAAATCCAAGTAAAAACATATGTGTGTTATACAGCCGAGTGAATAATCGAGCCGAAGTAAAACAGAGCCGAACGAGGTTCAGGTATTCACTCCGGCTCAGTACGGCTGATTTCAGCAATACATCATCAGCTGAAATCAGCCTTACATCAGCTTCCTTTGGCTGAGCTGAAGTGTAGAGGGACTTCTACTCAGCTGATCTAACATCTGGATCGGCTGAGCCAAAGCTCCGGCAGCTTACTCGCTGCCGTATTCTCATAGGGGCCAAACGGCAGTAAGTAAATAGCTTAATGCCACTGAGCAGTGACCCAACTGTTTCCTATTGGCCGGCACCTGCCAGAGTCTTCTAGCAGGTCCTGGCCAATGAATAAAAACTGGGCGGAGCTGGCCGTGCCACCACGGCCAGCTCTGCCCAGTTGTTATTGTTTAATAACAGATCAGCATCCCCAGGTCATTTGGGAATGCTGATCTGTCATTTCAAACGGGGCCGAGTGAGTCGTGAGATCACAGCTGGCTCCGCCCTGTTGTCATTTGCATAGAGATCAGTGGGCTTCAGCCGACCTTTCTCCACACTTCAACTGTCACTTAGGCTCAGTCGGGCCAAAGCATATGCCTTCGGCTCGGCTGCTGTATGGTCTATTGTGAATAGCCTGTACAGCAGCCCTTTGGTTTGACTGAACCGAAGGACAGAATCGACCAAAGAGAGCCGAAGAATCATGCGGAAGCTACGGCAATATCATTTGGCTCCATAGTGAATAACCCTTTAAGGTAATGGATCCTGCCACAGTGCACATCTCCCTATCTGCCTGCCTACCTTTCTCTGATTCCAGCCGACTGAACTATCTGGACTGGAGAGTACAGTAGATACAGCGGCGGATTGATATCTGCTGTACTCTCCAGTGCAGGCCGGAACTATAACTTAATTGTCGGGAGCCGTGGCTCCTGATATTAATGCACCGGCCGAAAGTGAGGAAATAGTCCCCTCTCTCCCGGGCCATACCACTTTATCGGAGAGCCTGGGGGAGGCCGGGAGAGAGGGGACAGTTTGACATGAGGTTCCACGGGCTGAACCACAAATTCCCTCTCTATTCAGTCTCAGGCGGCCCTCGAGTTGAGAACCACTGATTTAGATCATTTAAAGGGGGAGGCACTACAGGAAAGGGGGAACGATAAACAGAGTAACCACAAGATGGCAGCATAACACATATTACCTATGGCATTCCATAACAATACAAATTAATTGCATTGACATGCGATTGCTGTTGACAGCACAGGAATTCTCTGCCCGGAGTTGATTGGGCAGCATGCATGTAGATTTCTTTTATATTGAAGAGGTTCTCCTTCTGGTTTCAGTTTCAGACCGAGTCCGAACCTGTGCTCATCCCTAATTGGATTTATAGGTTGTGGGTAGAGCGGTGCTCCTGCTTACCTAACAGTAATCACATTATTTATCACAGTTTGACACATCAGTTGGTCTTTAGTGTGATTTCAATATTGGATTTGAAATATCCTAAGCACAAAAAAAAGTGTTTTTAGAACAATTTCTCTTAAATTAATGAGCAGAGAATTTATTTCTGAAGCTAACCTGCAACCATTTTTATCAGTTCATTGGAGATCTGAGGCTAAAATAGTCTGATGTTTTGTATATAAGGAGCAGGTGATTGTGTGTCCTGTATTAGGGATAAGAAGAGCTGCCGGTGATTATACTGTGTGAGACTGCAATACAGCATGAATTGGTCTTCTGTCCTCTCTGCCTCTTACCTGATGACTTTTCTCCAAATCACATATTTGGGAGTATTGATGACCCAGAGTTCAGCTTCACTTTGTAGACTTTCTGCCAAAAAGCCTGTCTTTGAGTATGAGTATTACCAAGAGGGAGACGTCATTATCGGAGGTCTAGTCTCCGCTCACTCCAGAACAACAGAGCACAAAACTCTTGATGGGAAATCAATACTATGCAGTCTGTGTACATTGTAAGTACATGTCTTTGAAAATTGTAAGACGAGTAAAGACAGGCAAGTCAATGAACATACCTTTCTTTATCTGTTGGCACAGACCGAATATATAGGTGACCATTTCTTAAAATGAGTGTCTTAAAGGGGTTTTAGAACCTCCGGGTTTTTTTGCCTATATCTACTGCCAGCAAGCAGTAGATATAGGCAAAAAGTTTTTTCTTTTTAAACGCTTTAACAGAGGTTTAAACTTACCTCGTTATCGCTGCGCGTTCCCGCGCCGAAAATCAGGAACTGTTCATGCGGCCGCAAAGGATCTTGGGGCGGGCGCATGCGCAGTTCCGATTCTCGGTCGGGAGACGAGCAGAGACGCAAGGTAAGTCTATGGACGTGTGCACCCACATGCAGACACGGAGGGGCAGAGCAGTCAGCACTGGATTGGAGGGGCAGAGCAGTCAGCGCTGGATCGGAGGGGCAGAGCAGTCAGCGCTGGATTGGAGGGGCAGAGCAGTCAGCGCTGGATTGGAGGGGCAGAGCAGTCAGCGCTGGATTGGAGGGGCAGAGCAGTCAGCGCTGGATCGGAGGGGCAGAGCAGTCAGCGCTGGATTGGAGGGGCAGAGCAGTCAGCGCTGGAGGGACATCAGAAAAGAAGAAGAAGACCGGAATAAGAGACATCATTTAAGGTAAGTGCTAACATTAACATGGGGGGGAGGGAAACATTTTTTTGACTATAATGTCACTTTAATAAAGCCATAAAAGTTTTGAATCCCACTTTTCTCACCCTGGTTCTTAATTCATATCTTGTTTCATTTAGAGATTTAAGCACTCTCTCACAAGCAGGGCAAATATGAAATGACATATTATTTACATATTGTTTGTTACTTTTTCTGTATACTGAAACCATACATCTAAACCCAATGTAAAGTAACATATTCGTATCAATCCTTAAAGTGTTTTTCTGCTTTTGCAGTCAAATTTGAGGAAACCCCTCTATATGTTTGTTATGTGTTCACATTCACACCACATACTGAAAAATAACTTTTAAAACATTCTTACCTTTAAGATGTTTTGTTACAGCAGGCAAGATGGCTGATTCCAGGATTTTCTCAGCCCCTTTACAGTGATCTGTCCTAGAGGAAAGACTTAGGATTTCTTCTTACAGTATCAGCTGATTTTTTTTTGCACTTATCGAATAGATAACATATACAGTAAACTCCCCGTTATCCGGCATCCACAGGGATTGGTAGATTCCGGCTAAATGTAGTTTCTGGTTGCTTGAGAGTTACTATTAAAAATAGGTCTAACTAATGCCATACCCAATGCTATACCATACCATAGACTCTGTACGGACTTCATATTAATATTGAAATGCAGTATTCAAAAGCAAATAAAGACAAATAGACATACAATCATTTCCAGGATAATACATGCCGCAGATCAGCAAAACAGTGAATACACAAGAGATTTTTTTTCTGGTTGGATGAGAGTTCTGGTTAGTTGAATACCGGATAACTGAGAGTTTACTGTACATATAACAGAAACATTAATACATATATAAAACAAAAAAATGTTAATGGTATTTTCAAAATACCAAAATGGAGCACAGTGAGTTTATTGTCAGGGTTTACCTAATATACTTTAATACTTTAAACAGAAGCTTTTATAATCTTTTTAAAGAATAATTAATTAGTAATATTTTTCCTCAATTTCGATAAATGTATCACATCACATTATCAACAATTCGCGCAAAAAACTAAAGAAAAAATAAAAACTTCCAATCCATCCTTAAAATTTTAAAGCTAAAGACATTAGGTCTGATTTACTAAAGGAGTTGGAAATCTTCACTGTGTAGATATTCAGTTCAAGTATATATTCATGTAAAAAGCATCTGCAATTGATTGGGTATTCAAAGACAACAACAAGGATTGGCTAGTTGTAAATATTCATACATTCATTCATATGCATATTAAACCAGTCTCAGTGAGGGCTTTCACAAATGTACATCTATAGAATAGACCACCCGCTAAGCAAAGGTTTTTAGTGAATAGTACATGCAGCTATATGTAGAAGGGAACTTGGAATTATATCCATGTTAGATTGTGTACACTGTTGGGTGTAAGTTTTTGGGTATAGGAACTATTAGTGCCCATTCACACTGGGCGTTTAATCGTGCAATTTCTGCCGCGATATCGCGCATATTTGCCTCACGATATCGCGAGAAGCCGCTGTCCAATGATTTTTAATGGAACTGTTCTATTGTACAGCTCCATGTCACCTGTCGCGCGTCACTTGTGCCGCTGATGTCGTTCGATTTTTCTATTTTTGCATGCAGCAAGACGGTGAAGGTCGCGCCATCATCGCCGGAACAGTCGCGCTATCCAGCCATGCGGAAATCCGCTCGAGGTAAGTGTCGCTTAGTGTAAATGGGGCCCTAGTGCCAGGGAAATGTACACTTAAAAAAAAAAAAAACCTTAGGATAAAACACCATTTCTGCTTTCCGGTCCTGAAAGTTTAATCATAATTTTCTAATATACACTTATCATCACCTAATCCTTGACCCTCAAGCTAACTGAAACCCCCAAAAATGATCTTTAAAAAAATCAACTGAATGCTAAAGTGACACTAAACTGAGGAGTTAAACCTTAAAAAAACATTCAAGTACCATAATTATTAGCAAAAATGTCTCTTATTTGTGTATCACTCGGCTGTAGATCCTCAAATCATCTTTGAATTGGTGCTGACACTGTCCTTTCTTCTGGAGGGGGGCTACTTTTGTTCCCCATGGTCTCTGTGTGTGTTGCAAAATAGTCACCGCTCCAAGCTCACTCCCATGATGGACACAATGGATACAATCTCATGTATAATTTACTAATTTGTATTAGATTGTAGTTCATCACAGAAGCGAGCTTGGAGCGGTGACTACTTTACAACACACACTGTGACCATGGGGGCCTAAGGTAGCCACCCTCCAATAGGAAGGACAGTGTCAGCACCAATTCAGAGATGATTTGAGGATCTGCAGCCCAGTGATACACACATGGACATTTTTGTTAATAGTTAAGGTACCTGAATGTATTTTTAAGATTTAACTCCTGAGTTTAGTGTCACTTTAACTCCTATACCTAATATTGCAAATCTCCCACTCTCAAACCTCTATTGCTAACACCTTAATCCCATACCTTACTGGTAAAGTTTACATAGAACTAACCTTTACCATCCTATCACTTCAAAAGGGATTAGCACAACACACTCTGGATTATTATAGCATAAGCAATGCAGATATGATCCAGAAAACTCTATACTCCTGAGTACAGTGTGCCAAATCCTCTGCATCCAAACCTAATACCTGTGATCAGTTCTCATTAGTTGTTTTTTTTTGCAATTCACATTGAAATGTAGTTGATGTTTTATATTTTCTTATATATATTACTTCCCTATAGTATTAACATTGAGGAATACAGAAGCATTTTGGCGTTGATATTTGCTGTTGATGAGATTAATAAAGACCCCAATCTTCTACCCAATGTTACTCTGGGTTATCATATCTTTAATACCTGTGGAGATCCAAAACTAGCTTTGGGATATGTCTTACAGATATTGTCTGGAGAAAACATGGAGGCTCCCAATTATTCTTGTAAGGGGAACAGGGAAGTGGCTGGGTTTATCGGTGACTCACGTTTCCATACAACTCATGCAATGGCCCAGGTACTCAGTCTTTATCAATATACACAGGTAAGTGATTACTAAAAATGTATCAAAGCCCATATGTGGGCCCCCTCAAGCAACCCTGGAAACAGTAGCTCTCCCCTGTTCTTATTAAGGGCCCACAGTGATATTTTATGTTTTTGTCCATTACTTACCTTTATTTTAATGTCAGGTAACTGGTCATTTGACATGTTGGTAAATTTTCCTTCTGAGTTTTCTCCCAGGAGTGGGCAGCCCTCGATGATGCAGACAGTGTCACTGACATGATGACATCAATATAGCTCTCTGCATCAATGCACTGTGAGTACAGGTGGTGAGGCTTTTACAACCTGAATTGACAGTCTTACCTAGGACTTCCAGGTTGAGTGATACTGGGCATTAATTAATCACAAAGAATGAGTACATCTTGTAATGAAGAAAAAATATGCCTAGGACAGCTGTGGATTGAAGGTGAGTATTGCAGGGGGAGCTGGTTTACTCTTTTTTTATGTGGAGGTCCCATAGGAACAATGAGAGAAACGTGCTTGACTAAATATTGAAGCTAGCTGACTGTTTGTCATGCTGATCCATTTTGAGGCACTGACCCCGAAACACGGATGCAGTTGAGGATTGCTGACTTCTTTTTAATTTAATAGGCTTGACCGGTTTCCTAAATCAGTTACAAAGAATACTAAAGCCAGAGACAGCCAGACACCTCACAATCTAAGACGGAAATCAGCTTTGACAGCCTCAATACAATACGTCTTGGTCGATTTTGTTTATACTAGGCAGTCATACGGGTCTATTCACTAAGCTGCCGAGGGCAGCCGAGTGAACAACCGACCCCAAGTGAAGTGAGCCGAACACTGTTTGGCTATTCACTTCAGGCTGGTACGGCTGATTTCAGCAGCGGAGGAGGGAGCGCTGTCACTTTAGGATGGCTTAGTGGTAAAAGAGAGAGCTGCAGCTGTCAGATCCTGGCCGAGTGGTTCTCTCCCTCCTTACCACTTGCCTCGCCCTTCCTACGTCCCTGCGTTACACAACAGTCTTTAATAGGGAGTGGTGTTTCAGCCATGTAGTATATTTGACGTTGTTCTAGATTCCATGGAGGTTTATTAGGTTTGTTGGCATTGATTGATGTAAGAGGTGAAATAAAGCAGAATAGTAATCACTAAATGATCAGAGAAGTTTGGCTGTTTCTTTGCTGGAGGGCTTGTGCCATGGGCTTCCTGCATTTGCTACTAAATTTGTATCTCTGTTGCGTAATCTTGTCTGAGAATCAAGTGGTAGATGGAGCTTAGAGGCTAAGCAGTTTAGATCTCATAGCTGAGATTTCCGGTATTATGGAAAGGAGAATGTTTATTACTAGTGACTGGTTTCCACGGTGGGTAGGTTCTGTCAAGTTTCCAAAAGAGTTTTTCGATCAATCCATTTTTATCCCAGAGCCTTTCTGTATCAGAGTACCCCATAAGCCTCCTACTGTAGGCTAGGGGATAGGCTCATCTGTATGGTTAAAATAGAACTTTTGAATGGTGTCCAATGTGGCCTGGTGGCAGATACTGCCTGAGATCAGAGAGTCATTGAAGTGCCAGGTCCACACTCAATGGGGAGCATTGAGAACTGTTAGGGTAAGCATTACTGTGGAGTGGCCAGACCAGATCATGGAATAATCAATAGGTCAATAGAACATGCAGGTCACTCTAAGAGGTAGTGACTCATGAAAATGTAGTCTAAGTAATTATGTAAACAATGAGAAGCAGAATAGAATAGTCTTGCTGCTTGGGGTGAAGGACCCTCCAATCATAAATCAAATGGTAGTCAGGGAGGGATTTGTTTTACAGATTTACAGATTTGACTTTATTTAATGGCATGTCCACCCCATGCTGATTAACAGCAGGCAGTGGGCGGGTGCAATAGCAAGCTTGCTTTTGGCTATTGCATTTTACAATATCCAATAGCAGGATCGGTATGGCTCCCAGCCTGCAATGAAGAGGAAGCAGGCAGGGGGGTAGGTCAGAGGAGCCACAGCCGGACCGGATCCTAGACGAAGGCGACGGACCAGGGGACCGGATGCCGGGACAGCAGCGGACGGACCAGGGGATTGGAGGCCGGGACAGCAGCGGAGGTAACGGGGACAGCAAAGGCATGCAGCGGTCTGTGTCCCCGCTGTCTCCCCCAACACAGGCGCGGAGAGCAGCAGGAATTTGAAGGGACACAGGCTGCTGCAGCCACAGTTTTACTACATGTACCGGCAGATGTATGGGGGTCGAACATTCAACCCCCATACACTTGCATTGAGTTTAAGTTCGTATTCGAACATTCCGGCCATTCGAATGTTCGATTACGAACCAAACACGGGGGTGTTCGGCTCATCCCTATTGATGATAGGAAGGGATAGGGATATTTTTCTTCATTTAAATAAGAGGACTACCTGTTTAAAAGATGGAAGACATGTGATACTAATGACAGAAGACTGTTCAGAATCTAAGTGAGGATCCAGATTTTTATAATATTTTCTAAGGGTACCTACAAATATGTTCAGACCATCTTAGCATACCTTTAGAATAAGCAATAATGTATGTCCTTCATATCTATCTTTGCTTTAATCTATGGCATAATAAAGGCATGCAGGTATACATGAAGCTTTCAATTTCATCACTTCTGTGGAGCAATAAAGCATTGTTTTAATGAGCTATAAGCGGGGGGGG